ACACCTCGGTCACGATTGCACTGCTATCAGCGCAACACAGCATTTTTGATCAAAAAATGGCAAGCGGGCTGTCCTCGAGAAAGCCAACCGAAGCAAGAGAGATACGAGTTGTGATATGTATAGTTAAAACAAATGCCCCAAGTAGTACTCCTAATACCCTTAGTGGCTTGACCCATGAGAACAGGGGAGAAAATTAAAGAAATTGATAAAATCCTAGTCTTTTGAACCAAAATTTACAGTGTGGGAACTTGGATGTGTGTTTGACTACCGTATGCTGGAGGACGCGCTAGAGAGAGGGGAGACGCCCATGTTGTCTGCTACGGCGCTCATTGGCTACCGCCTCTGCAAACGTCATTTCAACGTAATGCCTGACGCCCTTGTCTGTGCTCGCCGCCGTCACCACGGCCGCGCTAGCGCGGTGAGGAGCGGGTGATCGCGGTGCTGCATTGTGTCAATATGCCAGTGATCCGACTGCCTTTGGGGTTGCTTCCCAACTACTGAAACCGTAAGTAAACTATGTCGGGGCTGACTGCGTGGACAGGTGGCATCTGCACACTCTTGGCATTACGAGGAGTAATAGACGGACAAAATTCACGCGTTGGAGCGAGACGTACAACCGCGGCCGCGGGGTTCCATAGCGTGAGGAGCTCGTTTTTTGCCACACGTGTTTTAGCTTATGCCTAAGTTTTAACCACCATAGTTATAGTTTTAATCCTCGTTCTAACGGCCGCATCTAACAGCCGTGCGCTGCCGTTCATGTTTTGAGCAGTTTTCAGTGCTTGCTTGTACTTGCGAGTTTTAAACAGATTGGTACGACTTGTCTAAATCCAACATTTTGCAATGTACATACCAATCGGCCCAGTTCAGTTCACTAATGAAGGTGAGCTTTCTTCTTTCTGTTTCTGAAAACACTGTTTACGCTTGAGCGCAGCGTGTTCAAGTCAATATATGTCAAGTTTAATAAAACAGTTATGGAAGAGCTAAATTGCAAAAATATCACATTAGCAGGTCCCAGAGTTAAGAAAAACTGCCGGAAACCTATTGTGAATACGCATGTTGCCTGTCTGAAGCCATCCACATGAAGGCAGCAAGAGTGACTCACAGCGAAGGCTTATTGCGGAAACGGATAAATAATAAAGTGAGTTGATTGCAATGAAAAATAAAAAAAAAAAATTGCTGCGAGAGGAGGAACCTGGTGACATTATTCACAGGATTTTTACTTTCTCTGTTCATTAGTTCCGGCTTACTTATAATAAAACACCTGATCCTCCCTGAAGCACGCATCCACATAGGTAACACTGTGAAGTAGGAAATTACTAATGTTTACTTTATTTGTGTGCATAGAATTTTCTACTCCCTCCTGCGGTGCCCTCAGGCCTTGGAAGTAATACAAATAAAACATCTGGCATAAACAAACATACTTTTGCAGAAATTTATTGAAAACTAAAGCCATCCTTAACCGACATTCAGTTTTTTTTTTTTGTTTTGGACAATCTGCCTGTGATGTATCTTTTTTTTCCTATTGTTAATGCAGTAAGCTGCTCAGTACCATCACAGTGATACACTTGGGAGCCACGCACATGTCAAATTTGGTTTTTGTTTTGCACTTCAACTACCCCATATCTCCCTGATTTTGCTTCAAATATTACCCACGGTCACCTGCAAGCTATACACGTGCAGTATTTTGGAGAATGACTGCTGCACAAAGTCCGCAAATCTGTGGCAGGCATTGCGAACCGACACTGAAATGTCAATTAACTAGGCAGTTTATGTTAAACAGGACATACTCAGTGATTGAACAACTGTTTCACGTTTTTCACCACTTTTGCTGCAAGTAAAAAGCGTACTGGGGCATATTATGAGCACTTGATAGTTTAAACTCGCAATTACTAACGATATGCATCGATCGTGTAGGCAATACCGTCGGTAGCCTCGAAATTGGTCATTACATGAACGGTGACGTACGGCCGTACCTGCAACAGCGTAATAAGCCGTACGGATTAAAACTTGACATGCGTTTGAGAGCCGTGATGAACATGCTGCGGGATCTGCGGGAAAAAGCAAGCCCTGATGCTAGTGACGCCGTGGAAAACAAATATGTCTTGTGTGCAGTCTGTCTATGCAATTTGCCCAAGACTGTTTACTTACGGTATCAGTAGTTCGGAAACAACCCAAAAGCATTCCGATTCACAAAAACACACCACACAACACAGCTGTTCTCAATACACCCCCGGTGCGGTTTGCCCGAGACTGTTTACTTAGGGTTTCAGTAGTTGGGAAACAACCCAAAAGCAACCTGATTCACAAAACACACCACACTCACAGCTGCTCTCAGTACCGGCGCTACCGGCGAGTCCGCGGCGGCTGGCATGGCAACCGGAAAAAAAAAGCAAACATTTTAACTGAACACGGAAACGACTTAGAAGTGTGGCAGATTGAGCTAGTTGGTATGAAATTACGATAGTTATAGTTCTACCTCGATTCGCGCCCGACTTTGCCATCTGACCAGCCCACCTTTGTTGTTGTGAAACTCGCATCCTTGCTTGTGCTCCCAAACCGCTGGCTCCCTCCTCGCGAGAGGGACCTCTTCCTGAGGCCGGTTCTGTAGGTAGTTCTCCCGGGCTGCTGGCTCCCCCCTTGCGATATGAACCTCTTTCTGAGGCTGGTTCTGGCAGGCATCTTCTCCCTGGGTCTGCTCCTGGATCATGATCTTTTTTGGATCTGAACCTGGACCTCTAGTTTCCCTGCTTTTTGTTGGCGGTCTTGCTTCTGGCTGGGGGCTGTCTGGTGGACACGATGAATCTCTCTCTTCAGCCCTGGCTGCCCATCTGCGCTGTTTCACTATGTACGGCATCTTGAATTCAGCCCTGCACAGCCGGTATGCCGTGGGGTGATCTTCTTCACAAAGTTTGCATCGTGGTTTGCCGTCCTGCTCTTGCGTTGGGTTGCGCATGCCACATCGTGTACAAAGTTTTTCCTCCGGGTGTGGGCAAATGTCTAGTGTGTGTCCAAGTCTGCCATACTCCCTACAGAAGTCTATCTGCTTCTTATATAGAGAGACTCTGGTGATTGTGCTCTTGAAATACACCCATGTCGGCACCTTGTAGCCGTCGAAAAGGAATATAATCGTCGTTGTACTTCCAAGTCTCTTTGCATGTATCAGTGATGGGTTTCTATTGGTAACCAGGGCTTTGAGGAGGTATTCTTGTGTGTATTTTAGAGACACATTTCGTATTATGCCTTTGGCAGTCTCATCCGGTGCCGTTGCGTGCATTCTTTCCTCAATTTGGATCTCCTTGATTCTTCTTAGTCTTTCAGCCGTAGCGCTTTCGGGTGTGCTGACCACAACTATGTTTTGCGTGAGGTTGGGACAGATTGTTAGTCGGTCATCCCTGGTAAGGCCTGCTGCTTCGTAGATAGCTTCATCTAACAAGGCCGGGCGTGTGCTTCTGATATTCAGACCGTCTCTCGGTCTTATGATTACCCTCACATCACCCTCGGGTAATTTCGGCACCTTACTTGAGTTCAGAATCCTGCTGGAAATCATCTGGCTCGCCTTGCATGGATTGGGCAGGAAAATTCGATTTGGGTGTACGTATCACTTGCCTTGCGCTCAGCGTCTCCATTCTTCTTGTATTTAACATAAGTCCATCCGCTTGTACTATCATCGTCTTCTTGGCCTGGACCCTTGCCGGGGCTTTCGTTGTCGTCGAGTTCACTGGCGTCTCCTTTGTGTCTGATGTCTTCCATATTGTTATCCTCTTGGTTAAATCTCGCGTCGAGTCACTTGAAGAACGTGGGAACGCGCACAACTCGAGTTTCAGTCCGCAGCCCCGGCCGGTCCATCCGCTTGTACTATCATCGTCTTCTTGGCCTGGACCCTTGCCGGGGCTTTCGTTGTCGTCGAGTTCACTGGCGTCTCCTTTGTGTCTGATGTCTTCCATATTGTTATGCTCTTGGTTAAAACTTGCGTCGAGTCACTTGAAGAACGTGGGAACGCGCACAACTCGAGTTTCAGTCCGCAGCCCCGGCCGGCGGCGCGGGGCTGTAGTCCTCACCGACGCTAGGCCTAGCGTTCGCACACGCTGGGAGTAGGGACTCTTGGAAATAAAATCTCCAGAAAGTGTCCCCCACCTGAAATTTTTGTATCTGCAGATGCCTCTCGAAAAACTGGTTCTTATGATATAAGGATTCATGGGTCTTGAAGCAACTAACATCTAACAGTCATGAAAAAAGCTGGAGCCGATGTGACCCGCATTTGAACTGATGGGCGTTGCCTGGCGCCTGTTCAGATGACATGACTGCTGCGATTTTGGGATGTGCGATAAACACTCGCTTGAAAAAAAAATCTCATTTTTGTTCGGTAATACGATCGTGCAAGAATTACGCTAGTGCGAAGATTACACGAGTAAATACGGCAACTCGTTTTGAAGCTGATTGATTGATATGTGGGGTTCAACGTCCCAAAACCACTATATGATTATGAGAGACGCCGTAGTGGAGGGCTCCGAAAATTTAGACCACCTGGGGTTCTTTAACGTGCACCCAACTCTGAGCACACGGGCCTACAACATTTCCGCCTCCATCGGAAATGCAGCCGCCGCAGCCGGGATTCGAACCCGCGCCCTGCGGGTCAGCAGCTGAGTACCTTAGCCACTAGACCACCGCGGCGGGGCTCGTTTTGAAGCTCCCACATAAGTGTCGTTCTGTACGACATGCAGGGCTCTGATTCGAAAACTGCTCTTTCAGCGTTATGAAATCTTGAGCGCACGGGATCTCCAGTGCTCTTGCTCCAGCTTTCAAAGTGACACTAAAATTGGTCACAGTTAACAACACTAACATTAATTATGCAATACTTCACAGCATTTACAATTCGAGTTCAGTATTACCAGACACAAAGTTAACAATTGCTGTAAAAAAAGTCGCCAAAAAAAATTTCGCTGTTGGGGATTTTTTAATCCGTTCCCTTCTCTTCTACAAAATGCATGCTTTCTGTCCAGGAGCGACCACCATTCATACCTGAAGCGGCACTTCAGAAGAAAATGGAGGCAGATGGAGCTAAAAAGAAACTGGTATGACTGATTGTCTCCTTCTTTGCATGCATAGGAGAAAAAGGGTCTGTGGGAATGTGAACTCATGATGTGATTGTCAGCGATAGAACAAAAGAATCCCGAACCAGGAGCGAATATTTGAACACGTACTTGTCCTTTTGATGACATTTCTGTCCTGTGATTGTCTAGACTACCATAAGGTCCAAGCCTTGTAAATCATCGAAAGGATAATGACCAGTGCCAGTATACTTTGTCACTTGCTAGAATGTAGGCTTTCACAAATTGGTGTGATACCTAGGTGGTTGATGTAATGTTGAGGTACACTGGCTTGCTTAATTTACAAGATGGCTGTGTCTGCCACATTTGAGCACAACTGGAAAAAAACACATTACCACATTTGCACGATTGTAAGTCGACTCAAATGTTAGTCGACCCACCTTAAATCACACGGGGGGGGGGGGGGGACGAAAATTGAGCACATTACACTTAAAAAATGATTTTTTTAACACTGTAAAGGAACTAGTACGACGTGGCTTCACAGCAGTGCTTGAAAACTATGCAGGAAAGCTAGCTTAGTTGAAATACGCAGGTATTACTCTCAAAGACCTTACAACCGGAACTAGTTTTCGATTCTAGGTCGACCTCCCAACTTCGGATTTTAAAGTAAGACAAAATAGGTCGGCCTACAACCTTGTAAATACACTACTTCTTTATTCTTTAGACAAGTTAAAGGTAATATGTTGCCCCGTTTCTATACAAGCATTGGCGAATTCTGGTTTGCGTGATGGCGTGTTTGGTGCCAGGCTATCATAACAGGGCCAGCATTAGTGTTTGAAAATTACGACATGTTTGTTTCGTAAGCCTATATCAGCTATATATGAAATGCTTTACACGCGAGTAGCATGTGGTAAGATCCTTGCATTATCAGGAGTATGTGCCAATATTCCTTTGATGAAGACAAGTGCAGACTTGGTGTTGTCAGGGACGTAGTGACGTCATCTTGTCAAACCGTTAGTGGCGATAACTTAGTGGCTTTGCATGCATGGTGCATTTATGCGATTGTGGCCAGTGCAGATTAAAAGGATAATTCTGGTGATTGAAATTCAGTTTTCGACTCGCCTTGTGCACCTTGTGGAGGTATGAGACAAAATTATGTATAGTCTTGAGATCAAGTTGAGGTTTATGTGTGTAAAAGTAATTTATAGTTTAATTTTCTTATCAGAGTGTTAGTTCCAAGTTGTGGCTTTCTTCATCCTCTGTTGATTGCTTGCAAATTATAGACATTCATAGAAAATTTGATGACTTCATCTTGTGTTTTATGCCGATCGCTCTTCTTTTCTCGTTTTTTTAGGAACGAGACATCGAGGCTGAACTTGGGGATGACTACATATTGGATCTTAAGAGTGAGTGATGGCTGGACGTTTTATTGGGAATTGTACTTCTTGCAAGCCCTAGGGAGTTGGATTTGTTCATGCTTGACGTCTTTCGTTTCGTCTCCAGAGAAATATGACCTGCCTGAAGATGAGAAGTACGACGTTATTCCCGAGATTTGGGAAGGACACAACATTGCCGACTACATTGATCCCGAAATTTTCGAGGTGTGTGAACGCTTAAAATTTAGTGTGGCATGCATCTCTTATTACAGTGATGTTTGGAGTGCATTTGTTATGAATATTTTGTAGCAAACTTCTCAAAAATGTTTCATTGTGTTTTATTAAGCTTTAAAGTTACTTTTGGACTGGCAGTTGATGCAGCTTTATATCCCCTCCCTCCTTTTTTATGGGCTTAATTTTTATGAGACTTTGTGGGCATTGAAGTTTTATAACCTTGCTCTTATATAACTATATTTGTATATCTATTTTTAATAAGGTTAACATGTTTGCAAAATAAAATAGGTACACATTTATGAAAGGGATAATAGAGAACCAGCCAAATGTACCAAGAAGCCACAGGGAAATCTGTGTACATTTCTGAAAAAGAAAAGCTTCTAGTTAAAAAAAAATCATCCCACCACGCAGTGTTTTCTGAAAGTCATCCCACCGCGCAGTGCTTTCTGAAAGTATATGTAAAATAAATAATAAACTGCACGCACATTCAGGATGCTGTGAGTGAGGCTGCTCACTTTCCAGGTGTTCTTCAGTGATAGCATTTCAGAGAGCAAAAGAAAAGGAACTGGGATAGAGACCTGGGGGTGGAGACCTGCAGTCAGTTTTCGATGCTGTTTTCAGCATCTACAGCTGCCAATTATGAGTTAAGGGGGGACATGGTGTGTGGAGATATATTCTGTATTTGTTTACCAAACATGATGAAAATATATGTGCTTATGTAGTTTCTCCTGCTGATTTCAAATATATAAAAATTTTAATTTTAGGTCAATTAATTTAGAAGATACACAATGCTGCCACTCTATTGTTTTCGGAGGCAATAGAAAAGAAGGTGCTTATCAAAAAGTAAATAATATTGCATAGCTAGACAGTGCAATGCTACAAGCAGATTTCAAATTAAAGAAAAACTAGTGATTCTGCAGTTGATGAAAGTTGAGGAGTCATGTCATGGCTATCACATGCGAAGAAATTTAGTTCCTTCTAAATTTATATGGGCAGCAAATGGAAATTCTGCTCTCAGCACTTTGTAATACACAGATTGGGCTTTACATTAATGAAAAAATTATTGCTCTAGCTGTTCTAGATTGCAAGACATCGACCCGACAAACTAGTGAAGTCACTAAAAAGCATGTTTTTAGAAAACTGAGAAAAAGAAATAAAACTCATTCATTTACATAACTGGTCTTGAAAATGCCCAGTATGCACCGGGCATGTAGTCCTTTTGACTATGAGTCCCTGTGTGGCGCTTTTTCAGGGACTGGTGCATGTTCTCCGTTGCTTGTCGCTTCTTGACTGATGCTGCCGTGCGCTGTCGATCCTTTTCAGCCATGCGACTGCGGCTTTGCCAGCTGGGGTTTAGGCTCAGCTTTTTCACAATGTCCTCTGATGCCTTTTTATTGCCTGCATTGAACTTGAGCACTGCTTCTGCCACAGCTGCCTCTACCGTGAATAGCAAAGCATTTCGCTCCTTTGGTGCCAGCGCCTAGATCATTAAATGCAGGCATTCGTTGTTATTTTGGGTTTTCTCTCGCTGGCATCGTTGCAACAGCTTTCTGTCTGACAAGCGTTCATAAATGGGAAGTAAGGCTTGGTAGACATGTCGAGGCAGCTTTTGACGATGTTTAGGAATGGGCTCCCCCTTGGCCTTTGCTGCATTTTGTTTGCACCAGGAATTTGGACCATGTGGGCACAGAGTGTGGTTTGCCTCATCATCATTGGATGTGATGTGATGATAAGTGGCCATCACTGTTGTGTGCATAGCATCAACATCACCACTGTGTGTCTTCAGAGCCCACCCATAATAATTGGTGAGCTTGAAGATCAGGTCTTTTGTCAAGTGGCCCTTTCCCCCAAGACTCTCAAGGCCAGGGCCTTTGTGTTTTGCAATCAAGTTGCGCAAAGCAGTGCCCATACGCTTTTGGACATGATTAATGCAGTCCTCTTTTTCCACCGGGATATACCAATAAACCTTATCTTCGTGTAGCGCAGGGTAACTGCGGCTGTCCCCATCTCAAAGCACCGTGGTGTAGCGCAGGCTGTGCCGCTAAAGTGACCTCCTGAAGAGGATGAGGGCAGCTTCAACCTCCATTTCCTCAGCCTTCTTGTCACTGTGTCACTGTTTTTCTGACACCGGTGATGTTCCTTCCACGCTGCATAAGAAGGGTCACCTTCCTTTGGGCCCGACTCGCATCCAGCAGAAAAGTTGCTCAAAACAACAAAGTCAAGCACCAGCCCGCTGAACAATTCTATGACGGTGCCGAGACCGATGTGCGACGAATGACCGCAAGTCATCCATGACCCATCAAACGACACTGTGATGTTTCCCATGTGGCCTATATTAAGTTCGGCGTAATGTCCCGCCGCGGTGGTCTAGTGGTTAAGGTACTCGGCTGCTGATCCGCAGGTCGCGGGTTCAAATGCCGGCTGCGGCGGCTGCATTTCCGATGGAGGCGGAAATGTCGAGGCTCGTGTGCTCAGATTTGGGTGCACGTTAAAGAACCCCAGGTGGTCAAAATTTCCGGAGCCCTCCACTACGGCGTCTCTCATAATCATATGGTGGTTTTGGGACGTTAAACCCCACAAATCAATCAATCATAAGTTCGGCGTAAAGTTCGCAAACCGACCGCGCGCAGTTGCTCGTCAAATTGTGTGCAGCACGATCGGCCGAGGGTGCCAACTTTGTTTTCACCTAGTGTTGCCACGTTTTCGTGTGAAGACCCCGACGGCTGATGCCCATCAACGAGAGCACATCATTGAGCGCGGTCTGTCTGTTCTCCGTTGCCTGCATAGCATGCGCGGCCAAAACGTTCACAGCAAAAGTTTCATATGTTCATCATTACATACGTGCGGCGAGCTCCACAACGACGCAGTCTCTCCACAGGTTAAACACACAAAACGCAACTTTACGGCGAGTCCGAATTCCTGGTCGTCGCGGACAATCTGCAGTTCTCCGTTGCATGCCTTGCACTTTGCAAATGCCAACAAAGCGCTGTTCACTGTGTCCAAATCTATAATTGTGAACGTGATTCCATCAGGCGGCCGAGCTGCTTCGTCGGCACCGTCAACCACGAATGCGTGTTTCCACGCTGTCGCTGCAGCGAACGACAACTCCGATAACTTGTCTTCGGCTTTAGCTCGCTCCTCTTCCAAGTCAGATTGCTGCCGATAGATAGTATCTAGACGCACGCAACCGCTGCTCGAAAGCTCCACGGACGACGGACTTTGCGCAGGCTCCGTAACAACTGATGCGGTAGCTAAGCCTTCCGTGGTAGCGTGGACGATTTTGCCATGGGATGCGGAGAGTGCAGAGTCTCGGGGGTTTTGCTGTATTACAGAGTGCTTCTTGAAATTCGCGGCTAGCGTCCTTCGCACTTTTTTCGCACCAAACTTGTGCCGCGTGCGGAATTTGTGCTCAGGATTTGACATCATGAAACTTCTCCGCCGACACTGAAGCAAAATGGCGCGCATGGACGCGCGCCTCAATACCCGGAGCAGACGAAGCCAGGAGCCTCCACCAATAGGAGGCAAGCTCAAGTCACATGCGCGAAGTAGCGAATAGGAAGGCGCTCTGGTACTTCCTTTTGCCGCTCATTTTACAAGCTGCCAATGGTTGAATTGGACCCATTCTGGCGGGAATTTGAAGGCGAAAGACGGCTTTCTCAAATGAGACCAAGCGGGCCTCGCTGGCACACATGAAAGGGCAGGGGCGCGTCGCAGAAAGTGTGCGATTTCAACGCTGATTTCGGCTCAGATTTATCTAGAAAGAGCTGTATAAAGGGTCTTAGTGGCTAAAATAATCATAATATAGGCATGAAATTCACGGTATAACTGCACTAATAGCTGTAGATTTCAAAAACGCAATAAAAAAAACAAGTTTTTTCCTGATTTTTTGGTCTCCACAACCCGTATCCCCTCTTAAATAATCCCTTCAAATGCTAGAAGCCATATTACGACGTCTAGCACATTTTTTTCCACATCACATAGCTCTCTCTGTATGAAATTTCTGTCTCACTTAAAGGCTCTTATAGTATCTTCTCTCGGTTAATATTTGATGTTATGTGTTATTCAATGGACAGAAACTGAAGCAACTGGAAGCAGAGGAAGAGTTGCGGGAGCAGGCAGGCTTCTACGACTTCCCCGAGAGCGAGGAAGATGAAGAAATGAAAGAAATCAGGAGCCTTGCTCGACAGTAAGCACACCGTGCTTTTCTCTTTTAACCCCATTTCTTTCTGAATCCTGTAACCTGAATTAGTTTTTAGTGTTCGCTTTGAGTATTTAGGGAGAGATTCTGCTGTTGATTTTGTTTGCAAACTTCGCCAAGGGTACAATTTTTTACAATTTGTTGGCCAGTTTGTCTGTAATGAAATTTGGTAAGGGGCATATTTTTGTGCCTCTACGTTGTAGCTTTAGAGCTATAGTTGTATAGCGACTGAATTTTGTATGATAGATAAAACGTGTGTACCCTGGGCCTCAAGATCCTGCTGAATGAATTTGTAGTTTCTTAGATTGAGGATGATGTCAATAGCTTAGTTGGCTTTCGGTGCTTTAGCCTGCCAACTTCATTAGACATCACTTCTGTGAAACTCTGTTATGCCGTAACCTGTCATAACGATGGAGGTGTTTAGAATGTGGCCAAAAAAAAAAACAGAGAACTCCTTACGAATCTTTACTGTTGTGAAAATTCAACACGTATTATAGACAGCAAAGCTATAGTCAAACATGAAGATATAGTCCGCAATGTGAGGAAAGACCATCAGGGGGCAGTAACACAGTCCAAGGCTGTTCTCTCAGTTGACCATGCCTTAGTGTAGTTTTCACTTTTGCTTGAATGCTTTACTATGACTCCTCTCTGATGTGATTGGTGTATGCTTTCTGAATTACTGATGATTGCACGCATTTATTATCTATATTTTGTGCATTCATTTAAAGAGGTGCATGCAGGTTATTGACCAATGAAGTGGCCACAGCAGTGTGTAGAGATTGTCACATAAGAGGAACATAGCCACAACATTGTCTTTTTCTTTGCAGTTGCAGCACCGTTTACAGCACTATGATGATCATGATGTATGCGTGGTTGCACATCTGAAATCGGCTCCACTATGTGATGTTTTATCGACGGTGTAGGGCACGAATGCAGTTGACAAAAATTTTTTCCCGGGCTGAAGCATGATCTCTTTGTATTCTGTTGCATCTACAGTGTGTCAATCATTACGATTTTGTAACGATATGTTGCCTATCATTGGAATCCTTGTTTTCACATTTTCCCAGGATTCGAAAGAAGAAGGCCATTCTGGCAATCAACTCGAAGATAGACAACACCACGAAACCAAAGGTTTCTAGGCCTATAATGAAGAAGGTAAACTGCCATTTTTTTGTTTCTTCTTGTCCTCGCTTGAGAATAGTGTCTACACCGTACTTCTTTTCTCTTTTCAGAGGGAACGTAGCGTGAGCAGGCTGCGCTCGGAAATGTCTGATCTTGGTGTGGAGCTCGACAAGGGCAAGGTAAGCTTTTAGGCTGCTTTCTTTTACTGCAAATCTGTGATACGCTAGTTTCCAGCAGATTGCTTGCTGCCCATGTAGACTGAGCGCATAGACCAAAACCAACAGCTCTAGCTGCCTATAAATTGGCCTCTGTCAGGGCAAGTGTGTCACAGCTGCTGCCTATTTGTACGGTGGCGTATCGGTGGAGGAGTGAAAACCATCTACAGGACATGTAGCATTAACATGTAGAATGACGCGCGTCTAAGAAAATTCTGGCTTTGTGAAAATTTTATGCCAAACACGTGTTTCACTGCTCACTTTTTAACCCTTCGCAATCTGAAACCTTTCTCTATGTCCCATCCTGGTTAAAAGCTAAGGTTTAAAGCTCTAGTAAAAGGGGTTTTCTTACTCTTCTACAGAATGCACATAATGTAGTGAGAAAACATGCGCATTAACCCTTTACAGCCGCATGTGGCGACTTCGCGACATATTGAAAAACTTCTAGCAAGTAAGTCACGAAATGCGTTCCACCTTTAATGCCGGCTATCAAGTACTCACGGGGCATGTAGCTTTCGTTGTGAAAAATTTAGTGCTGTCTCGTCTACAGTATTTTAAGCTAGAACTACCGTATTTACTCGCGTAATCCTCGCACTCGCATAATTCTGGCACCCCCCACATCGCCCAAGAAAAATACGATTTCTTTTTTTCCTTGAGTAATTACCGCACCCCCGAAAACTGCCGCAATAATGTCGTCTGCTTGTTCCAGCCACTGATGATGATAGCGTGCACCATCTGGCGCCATCTTGTAAGCATCAAGCGTATTATTGCGTGCAGATTCAATCCAAACCAAGCCGAAGTGGCCAGTTTGCGTTGCGGCGTGTTTTGTATGCTGTGTCGAGAATCTTGGCACGTTATGGGGCGAGACTGAAGCTACACGGCTGCTTTCAAGTTGGAAGTGATTGATCATGCACTAAACAACGGCAACAGGGCCGCCGGCAGGCGCTTCAGAGTCGACAAGTTTTGTGTTCGCTACTGGCGATGGCAGCTGAAAGCAACCAAGACGCGTTGGGACTGCACAGCAGCGTGCACACGTCGGGCGCCACAGGCACTTGGCCTTTAGTCCGACTTGGCCCTGATGTCTGCCTTGTTCTTCAGGATAGTACTCAAGGTGCTCCTTGGATTTTTGTACGTGGCGGCGACGTCGGACTTCTTGTCACCGCGCTCAACCCGATTGATGATTTCGAGTTTCGCGGCGAACGGCAAATTTTGCCACTTTGCGCGAGCCATGATGACAGCGCGCCAATACAGTTCACAGACCACGCTGAATCGGCAGCAGCAGGCACACAAGCATAAAGAAAGAAAAAATGGCGCTCACTTCTACCGCCTCCGTGCCTCGGAGAAACCACGACGACCTCTGATTGGCTGTAAGCACTGCGAGCGGGCCAGGATCATTTCTTGGAGGGGAGTGTTCGCCCGCCCACAGTTGGGTCTAACCAACTTTTTCTAGGGTGGCACCGGTAGTTTTTCTCGCCACCGCGAGGGAAAGCAAACTTGCTGGGGCACTTTCGAGGCACATGGAGTTTGATATATCAGTTGTCGTTGCTATTTTCGTTAGATAAAACAGTAACTTTTGCTATATATTCTCAATGTAAACTTACCGTGTTTAGGAATTGTTCGATATACAGGATCATTTGATATAAACGGGTTCGATATAGTCAGGCTCGACTGTAGCTGAAAGAATTAGAGGCCTTCAATTGACACTTCCCGGCCGTTTAGTATGTGAAGCAATTGAAAAAATACAACACACACAGGACCAAACACGGACACTTGTATGCAAAAAATAGATATTTAAGCTTTTTAAGTTAATACAATGAAATTCACCGAACACTATTTGAAAGTACATCACTACATATAAAATTTAGTAGCTTCAAAAAGAAACAAGTTCGGCTGGTGTAAATGACCTCACCGAATCGTAGTCGGGTGTTGTTGTGTATGCTCGTTATAGCGAGAGAACAGCTAGTGCCTATGCAGAACGCCTGAATTTCCCCATTAAGTGGCATTTATCGCATAAAAAGCCGCTACAAAAACTCTAAACATTACACAAATCGACCACACAGCCCTCTCACAGAGCCATCACAGCAGCGAGCGTAGCGCTGCTTTAGTCAGCCGCAACCTCTAATGGCGCGCGGAGCGATCATCTCTAGGAGGACCCTTTTTCCGGCGCAGCACGGAAGACTTTCCCTTCTAGTACACTGTACCTCTGCCTCGCTGGCCTTGCCCTCCCGTGTTGCCCTTGCCTCCGCGCTTGTAAACTTGCAGCGTCAGCATTTCAATAAAAAGAAGGAAAAGAAAGTCGTCTTTTCATTTTTTTTTCCCCCTCCACAGCGTCGAGCGTCTTCCAAGAAGCGAGGCGTTCGTTTGCTGTGTCGTCTGCTTGGGTACTGCTCCGGTGGTCGCCACGAATTTCAGAACATGAGTTCGTAGTACTGAGGCATTGTTAATATAACGCGGAACTAAATTAGTGCTCGTTATTCTGAAAAGTTCGGTATTCTGAAGTACGTAGTAGTGAAATAATTTTACAGTGAAACTATTAGCAGTCGGCGTGGGATTTTTTTAAAGTTCGTTAAAGTGGTGTATGTTCTAGTGAGATTTCACTGTATACAGTAAACTCTTAGTAAAGGGAACTTGAGGGGACTGGGAAAATATGTTCCACTTAACAGGAGTTCTGTTTATTGAGAGGAGAACATGGGTGCAGAATACAAGCCCAAAACCAAGCACTGCAGAGGCAATAGTTTCGTTTAAGCAGTAGTTTCGTTTAAGAGATTTCCATTTACTGAGAGTTAACTGTACATGAAAACATTTGGATTGGTGCATTTGACATTTCTGTACCTCACCAAATGATGTCTCGATAGGCAAGGATAAGGAAACATTCGTCTAACAGCTGTGGTGACCTTGCTACTCACCGTAGCGGATGGTCACTGCGGGTTCAGGCTTAGGGAGCCGCAAGGTCGTGTCTCCATCACCTACTCATTAAGAAAGTGTTTAGCGTGGCGCGGCAAAACAGACAGTGTTAAATTAACAGAAATACACGAAACATTTTTTTTGCCTTTGGCGGCACCCCGAACAACAGTACAACGCCCGCTCCCGGGACGCGGAGAGCAAAGGCTCCCGCACGGGGACATTCACGATAAGGGGAAACTGTGAGCACGTCGCAGCTGGCAATAGCGAGCTATGACACGCCGGTTGGGAAAAGGTCCCTTGCGGCTATGCTGCGCACTCTCACGATGGTCACTGGGCCTGGTCGCGAGAGTTGGGTCAAACCTCGTATGCGTAGGCCTACAGCAAGTGCGGCTTGGTGTGGTGCGACCACTTCAAGCACTAGGCACTGCTGTTGGCTTAGCGTACGGTACCGAAGCTAAGATCAAGTAAACACGCCATCCGGAGATGCCAAGGCACCCAGGCAGGCTACAGTCCAGCGGTTCCCAAAGGGAGGAGAGACCAACGAAGGAGAGACCCTTTCCTGTGCGCACGTGACTCGGTTTCTCGTTTTTCGCAACCTCCTGGCGCGCCGTTACCAGAACACGGGAAGGGAAAAGGAGAGCGGCGTACGGCGGAATGCCCGCAAAATGGTTGCGTGCGCGCTTCAGATCCCCACACAGCCCAAGGTGATGGTGTCGAGAAGTCGTGCGTAAAATAATTATAAACTCGGTCCTTATGCATCTATGCATCTATTAGACAGCTCCCGAGGGAGATCTTTCTGCTGTCATCTCCACTGGTCACAAATCTTCACTAAGGAGAATGGGCTCCAGTTTTTTTTTTTATTTATGTGATTACTGCATCACCATAGTCTCATTACAGCATCGGCCTGCATAGACAAAGTTCGCGTGGTTCTAAAACACGGAATGGCAAATAAACTGCAGGAACGTCAATATGTGGATTGTAATGACATACAAAATCACTATGGTCACAATACAGAGTTAAAAAGCTTGGAGGACACTTGAGGACACACTCTGAGTAAAACACAATTGCATAATTGGGCCCTTTTTGCATCACCTTTTCAATTGCTAGTTCCACTTTACCGTTGATACCATGTTGTGAGAAAAGGATTATCCGTGCATATAACATTAACCATTTCGAGTTGACCTGGAATGCTTCGTTAGAAGTACATTTGCAAAGGGCTCCCTATGCTATAATTCTTTCCTTTATGAATTGGCTAAGTAAGCACCACCCATCCATTAATAACTTTATTTCAGCATCGACAGGAAAGTATGCAACACTGGCGAAGTTGCAGAGGGCCTCTAACAACTCGACAAAGGCAACTTGTGCGCCCCCGAATTGCATACTTTGTTTAAGCTGTTGCTGACAAGGATGACTAATAGTTAGGGGTGTGCAAATATCAAAACTTTCGAATACAAATCAAATACGAACATAGCTTTGAATCGAATATTGAATAATGAAGAGGTGCAAGTTTTTTTTTTTTTCGCCAGTAATCTTTCACTCAATAATATATTTATGTTGAAATACATAGTACAATTGTTATTATAGTAAGTTATTTCAAAAAAAAAAAAATGTCACCATCTATACTTGCCAGAAAGCAATAGACTGCAATAGTTGAGGTTGTGACTATGATGTGTTGCGTTCAATCCACATGTTGAACAAATCTGTTGTATCTTTTTTATTAAAAAAAAAGCTTTCGTACCTGCCATGACGACTAGTGAGTATGAGGCCACTGGCTTGATTGTGTTACAGTTAACACTCGTCTACTTAAGTCTAAGCGATTATTAAAGCAGTCTAGATGATCAAAATTCATCCAGGTTTCAACACTATCAATGTTGGTTCGAAAAACCACAATTTTATAGTTTTTCTCCCCTGTTCTCCACTATTTCTAACGGATCATTTTCTCCCCTGTTTTAACGGGTTAAGCCACTAAGAAAAATAGGAATACTTGGAGCATTTTTTAACTAGACAGCAATACTCGTTATCTCACTTGCTTCGGTTGCCTTTCTCGAGGACTGTGCACT